AGCGGCGCACTTATCCAGTGCGCCACCGGGCCGGCCCTGCCTCATTCTTTTTAATGATTACCCAGTATTTGATCATATTAATATGTTAATTTGATCATATTAATACGTTTCCTCAGGCTACCATAACAAATTACCACAAACTTGGTGGCTTAAAACAATGGAAATTTATTCTCTCATAGTTCTGGAGGCCAGAAGTCCAGAATCAAGCTGTCACCGGGGTCACGCTTCCTCCATAGTCTCCAGTAGAGAAACCTTTCTTGCCTCTTCAAGATCTGGTGGCTCCTGGTGTCCCTTGATGTTCTTTGGCTCATACATACATCACTCCAGTCTCTGCCTGTCTTCACGTGGCCATGTCCCCTGTGCTTCTGTGTGTCTTCTTCTTTTATGTCTTTTATAAGGACACCTTATGCCTTATATCTAATTAGGACATCTTGTAAGGATTTAGGGTCCACCCTAATCCAGGATGATCATTAACTTAATTACATTTGCAGAAACCCTATTCCCAAATAAGGTCACCTTCACAGGTATGGGGGATTTGGACATATCTTTTGGGGGCCACTATTCAACCAACTATAATGGATATTTAAGTTGTTTTCAGATTTTCAGTTTTAGAAACAATCCTAAAAACACACACACACACACACACATCATTTTGCATCTCTCTTTGTACACATTCTTCTTCTTTACTCTTTTGTTAAAAATTTATACTAGTTTTCATCATAAGTATAAGGTAAAAAGCCTTATACTACCCACCTACTTTTCAAAACATCGCCATTGTTTACAATTTTTATATCTTTTCAGAAATTTTCTCTTCCTATACATTTATTTATATTTACTTCTGTATCTATATCCATATATATTTTGTTTTATACCTATGAGATACTACCATTTTGCACCTTTCTTTTTTACACTTAATATATTTTACATAGCTTAAATCAAGTATTTTATTTTTCTATATTGATATTACAAAAATGAAATGTTTGACTAAATTCCCCCCAATTTTTTTTTTTTCCTTTTTTTGTCTTTGTTCATGACCGGCAACGGATCGCAACCCTCAGTGTCGCGCCCGTACCAGACCAGGACTGGCAACGGGATCGCAACCCTTGGTGCTGCGCCCGCACCTCGCTCAGCCAGTGGTCTGTATGTGGGATCCGAGCCCTCGGTGGGAGTGCCGCCGCGCTCCCAAGTGGCGCACTGTAGCAGTGCACCACCAGGCCGGCCCCTCCCAAAATTTTAATTAAATGTTAACCATCATGTTTTAACATATAACTCTATTGTGTATTATGTTTACCCTGGGTTTTTATTTTTCCAATTTAGGTTCATCAAACACTTACATACGAGCTGCAAGCAGAGTTGTTTTAGAAAACTGGTTATGGAAAGTATATCATGTCACTAAAAGGTATGTTAGGACTTTTTGAAAAATATTCAAATATGAGGAATAAGTGATCTGTCACTCTTCCAAGGGACAGAACTGACATTTGATCAATGTTAATTGGGCTGGTGGTTGTGTTGGTTTTTCCCTCAGTGACTGAATTAACTGCAGAGTTAATGATATTTGCTGAAGAACGTCATTTCACTTACCTTGAACTTTTACTGAGTATGTAGCTTGGGGTGTTATCTGTGCTTTGCACTTTTTTATATAATTATTTCAGTCTTTCCAGACAACTTTTTTGCAGCAAACTCTCTAACAATGTATATTGTCCATTTAGGTACGTGTTTCCAATGCAATTTTTTTATATAACAGATGAAAGGAGGCAATATTTTCCTCATATAATAAACACACACCGTAAAACACTGATTAGCCATAAGGCTTGGGAAATGAGCAGTTGTTGTTCAGCCACCACAACTTGCCTGATGCCAACAGCATCCTTTACTCTGCCCGATTCCAGCCTTGTCCATGTCTCTGCTCCAGTTCATGCTTCAAACGCAGCCACCCAAATAATTATATTGAAATCCAAGTCTGATCATGCCACTTCCCCACCTAAAACCACTTCTCCATGATCTATCCAGCAAAATCCAGGTAGATTGAGGCCCTCATCCACTGGCTCTTGCCAACAGCTCCAGCTGCATCTCTCAACTGCTTTTGCTGTCATTGATATTATGCGTTTTCTGTTCCAGTGGTACATACTCCCTGCAGTCCTTGCACCTTTTCCTGGAAGTCCCCTTTCCCACTCCTGATGAATTCCATTTCACATTTAACAACATTGAGTTCTCTAAAAAGTGTCCACCAAACAATTAAATACTTATCTTATAGCTCACACATGCTCCTATTGAAGCATTTACTGTTCCCTATGATTATTTGTCTATATATTTCCCTCCTCACAGGAATAAATTCCTTGAAGGCAGATCCTTTGTTATTTATCTTTATATTTAGTCTCAGGAATGTGACTTGTACAAAATAGACAGTTAGGAAATGTACACAGAACAGATAAATTAACTAATGGGCTTCTGATTTCTGAAAATTCCTTTTGTTTCAACGATTTTTGTATACTCTACTTTTCTTAGTAGGGTCTGCTGAATTTTTATTTAATAATTTATGATATCACAGTGCCTTCAAGTCCCTATTGTGAAAGTAGGACAATGAAAACAAAACATGGGAGTATATATTAGGTTGAACCATATGTATCTGCTATTCAAACATTTTTGACCTACATGAACAGCAATTTCATATGGTTCAGCTTAATACAATGTATAGGCAATTATTCTGAATATGTAGGAGGCCTCATTAGCCTCTGATATTTGATCTTATGCTCACTCATTTCAGTTCATTTCCTTGTGATTTGCCTCAAGAGCCCATATGGGGGGGGTGGGAAAGGCACAAACATTCTGATTAATAGGAGATCATGTTAAGTTGGTTCTAAGTTAATCCAGGCTCATCTGTGTTCAATGGCTATGAAATATTTTATCTTGCAGGCATCAGCTGGAGTTGGTGCTACCTGATTTTCTAACTACCTGGGAAATTCAAGGTGTTGGCATTTCAGATAAAGGTAAGTATCTAGTCCGATATACTGAATTAGGGAACAGTTTGTTCATTGCAATATATTTATCATTTTATTGACCATTTACCCAGAACTTTGGTAGTAGCACATTTTATACTCTCATTGTAATCTAAAATTTAAAAAGAAGTATCTATGTCTTTGAACATATTTTGTTCATTTAATGTTTTTATAAACCACCACTTTGTGAGTAATGATTTCCAGTTCCTACTTTCCTGAAAACTTTCTGATTTGCCGGGGGTTTGAGATAGGGGATAAAAACAGGACCCATTACTGATATATTTGTCTCCCAAATTATGGGAAACAGTGCAAGTCAGTACCATTTAAAGTTATTTTTAGGAATATTTATTGTTTTTCACAATTCAATGTTTTCACCCATTAAATGGATTCCCTAATAAATAGTAACTTTTTTTGCTTGTTGAAAAATAGGGTTGGGACAGACTGCTAAAAATCTATGCAACTTTGTAAACACGGCACTGACAATAACAACAACAAAAGAGCAATAATCCTGATAAAGATCAAAATATATTAAATTCTAACAAAAGACATTACAGCAAACAATGTACTTTACTTTTAAAAAAAATAAAAGTAGCTTGACGGAAGGAAGTGTGAGAAAGGGCTGAGGCTGCTGAGTTATTGAGTAAAAAAAAAATACACAAGCACCTGGGGAGGCTGATGGCCAGATTGAGCCAAGAGGAAAAATGCAGCATGAATGGGCCTCATGTCATAGTACTCCACTTCTCATTTGCTGGCTGCATTCAGCTGAGTAGTGTAGTTTGTGTTCAGCTGCTAGTGCATGCTTTTAAAAAATAATAATGTGCTGGAAGAAATTGCATATGAATCAATGGGATACATTGCTATCACTCCCTTACTTATCACTCATTATGAACTAATTAACATTCAGACCTACATCTGCTGAACAGACTGGATGAAAAAAAGTTGTTGGTATGTAATTAATATTTTTACTTCAGTGCCTTAAAGGAAATTATTCTAGGACTCACAGAAACTATTCCACGTTCTGTTTTACTTTAAATGTTCATGAGCTATTGGGAGAACTATGGATACTGGCTGGATATTTGATGATATAAGAAATTATCATTGGGTTTTGGAGATGTGATGATGGCATCGCAGTTTTGTTTAAAATTTTTAAAAATTAACAAAAAAATAAACCAAAAAAAGGGAAGTTGTTGCCTTAGAGAGATATATACTGAAATATTTACGGATAAAGTAATATGATGTCAGGATTTACTTTGAAATAATCCAGGAAATGTGGGGAGCGGAGGCTACAGAGGAAATAAAATTGGCCCTGAATTGGTAATCACTGAAGCAGACTCATTATATCATTTTCCCTATTTTTTGTATAGGTTTGAAATGTTCTATAAGAAAAAGTTTTTTTTTTTAAGTTCACAAATAATTATTATGAAAATTCTTTATTTATGGTCATTATTTGAATGTTTGAGACAAAGGCATGTCCCCCAAATACCCCCATTCACTCTTCTCTCACGTCCCTTGGGCCTTCCTGAATGAGCCTGTCTAAAAGAGTATCTGTCCCTTGTCATGTTCTTTCCCCCTTACCCTGCCTATTTGCTTCGTGTGTCACTTCCTGACCTTTGATCACCCCTTTGTTTACGTCACCTGAATAGAATATAAGCTCCATGAAGGCAAGGATTTTGTCTGTCTTATTAACTGATGCATTTGCATTGCCTGGAACAGTGGCTGGCCCATGGTAGTCTCTTGAAATATTAATGGATTAGGGAACTAAGGGTTACGAAATAGAACTTTCAAGAATAAAAGAAAAATATAGAGGTGGGGAGGGAAACTACATATGATTTACAATATTCTCCTTTTCTTCAAAGTAAAAATAATGCAAGAATTTGAGAGAAGATAAAGTACTCTGGGAACCCCTCAATGTGCTGATGTATGCTGTCACCTCTTGTAGGTCTGTGTGTCACAGATGTGCTGCAGTTGCAGCTGTACAAAGACCACTTCCTGGTCACAAATGGAAATGCTACAAGCGTCCATTAAAAGGGACAGTTTCCAACATTGAAACTCCAGGAACTTAAGTAAGTGAGTAAATGCATGACGCTAGAACAGTGGCTGAGAAATCTAATGGTAAAATCACCACATGTGATTCACTCCACTTTCATGTACAGGCATCTGCATGGGATGGGGATTGAATGAGGGACAGGGGAGGGGTGAAAGAGTCTTTCAGAGTAAATGTATCAGAGGGAAGCTGCATGGAGGTTTAGGTGGAAATAAGGTCACATTTTGTTGGGAATAATGGGAGATGAGAGGTTTCCCTATGAACATGCAAAGAAACAGAAAGCAGATAGGTGGTTGCTAGGTGTTGGGGAGAGGGGGAAATGGAGAGTACCTGCTTAATGGGATAAGAAGTGACTGCTGAAACAAGAAAGGCTACAGAATATTTCTCAAACTCATACATAACTCCCTAACATTATAATCCATATATAAACTTCCTTTTTGCTACCACTGAGGATCACTTTGTAATAGCGAGGTCGGCTTAATCAAACCTGGCCTGACACCCTGACCTCTATTGTCTGGCCTCTGGTACTTGCCCTTCCATTGTCTACCTGCATGGTGGCGCACTCATCCCTGGCCTCTGATGGCCAGAGAAAGGGTCTTTTTGGCTGAGTACATACTGGCAGAATAATTGACTGTTTTTGTTTGTTTGGTTGGTTGGTTTGTTTTTAAATAAGATCAAGATCTTAAACTGAAATATTTCAACATATTTCTGTATGAATTCTGCCTTCTATGGAAAGAGAATACTCTGTATTGCTCTCCACCCCCTGCAAATTTAATAGTTCTACTAGAGTTCAACACATTTCTAAGCATATGATCCTCAATATTCATGAACATCAAATGGAAAAGAGGAAAACGCTTTGAGTCAGAGACTGCTTACTAACCCAGCATTCATTTCTTCTTTGTTCCTTATTATCAAAATCTGGACTTTGGCTGGCCACCTTGCTGCCCAGTTTCCCTTGAATCTGCGTACAACTCAATCCCAAGCCCCCAGGGAAATGTAAATTGCATGGGACTTGCGGGAAGGCTACTGAAAGAGAGTCGATTCAACAGGGAGTCGTCCCTTTTTCCCCTCTTTTTGCAGCCCCCAACTCAGAAACGGTGGCTGATGCTCCAGCAGCCATCCTGGACCACAAAGTAACACCGAAGATGGAAACTAGGTTCTAGGACAGTGGCAGAGAAAGATCCTAGCTCCTGCCTCTGATGACACGTGAAGCTGCCATTCTAGCCCTTGACTGCCCACCACTAGATTTCTTTTCTATGAGAGAGAAATAAATGTTTATCTCACTTAAGCAATAGTTATTTTGGTTGTCTGTTATATACAGTAGAATCTAATTCTAATTAATAAAAACTCATTTTTAAGAGTCTTTTTTATTGGCTCTAGCAAGTAAAGTATGTGAGCCGGAGTTTATCAGATGCATTTGGTTTGCTATTCTCAATCCCAACTTTATTTCATCTTTCCAGCTCTTACCTCTGTCCTGCTTTCTTTGCCCATCTATCTTAAACATTGTCTTCTGTTGTATTCATTTTCTTTAATTGCACAAGCAGTTCATCAAATTATACTTGTAAAAAATTTAGACAATATCACTGACTTCAACAAATTTATTAAATGAAATGTAGACCAGCTTTATCAAGAATATTTTTTACAACTTTGACAGGAATGTTGCTGTAGGAATTTTTCAGTTTACAGTGATTTGTTCTGGGATTTTCTTGGCTAATTCTGATTTCTTTTGGAGGCTTTTAAATTTAAAGTTAAAATTAACTTTAAGCTTTCATATATTTTTTTACATTTCTATTACATTTATTAATTATTTTTTATTGCTATCAATCTTTTTATTTTATTTTGTCGATATACAACATGGTTGATTATTGTGGCCCATTACCGAAACCTCCCTCCTTCCTCCCTCTCCCCCCTCCCTCCCAACAATCTCCTTTCTGTTCTCTAGTCGTATCAATTTCAAGGAATTGTAATTGTTATGTCTTCTTCCCTCCCCACCACCCCGGTGTTTTTTATTTATTTATTTATTTAGTTTTCGCTTCCACAAATAAGTGAGATAGCTGGGCCATATGGTAGATCTATCTGCAATTGTTTGAGGAACCTCCATACCATTTTCATGGAGGCTGCACCATTTTGCAGTCCCACCAACAATGTATGAGTGTTCTTTTTTCTCCACAACCTCGCCAGCATTTATTGTTCATAGCCTTTTGGATATTAGCCATCCTAACTGGGGTGAGATGGTATCTCAGTGTAGTTTTGATTTGCATTTCCCGAATGCTGAGTGATGTAGAGCATTTTTTCATATGTCTGTTGGCCATTCGTATATCTTCTTTTGAGAAATGCCTATTTAGTTCTTTTGCCCATTTTTTAATTGGGTTGCTTGTTTTTTTCTTGT